AGCTGTACCAAGCTCCAAAATAGTGGTATAGTACACAGCTAAAGGATGAAACATAAAACAGAACATAAACACAGAAAAACTGATAGACAGCACATTATGCGGTAGGTACATACCGTCCAGTAGTCCATGTCAGTTCATATATCAACCAGCCACAGTGAAAACAACAGCTGTGAGTGCGGCTCCTAAATGCATAATTAAAAGAAAAAATAAATAATTATATGCTAAAATAAATATAGAAATAAATAAATGCATTAATAAAAAGGAAAGTAAATTAATACATGCTAAAATAAATAAATAAATAAATAATTAAATGCATAAATATATAAATACATGATTTACATGTACAGTCCCTCTGTAAAAGCCATACATTGTATCTGTATGCTAATGAGGTAGATGGTTCTAAGCCCACTCTAAAGCAGGATAGGTAAACTGGGAGTGCCAGACAGAAGCAAAGGATTCCCAGCAAGTAGTACTTGTACAAGACACACGTGTGTAAGCCAAGCTAATCTTTTCTCGGAGGGAAACTGAGCGGTGCCGGCAATGGCTTCGAAAGGGAGGCCGCTAGCGGGCCTGCTATGGGATGTAGCTAACCAGCTTGAAAACTGTAAGTTATTTATCTTTATATGTGAAGTTTAACTAGAAAAGGCAGTTGTTTAACATTAGCTAAATACTGAAAAATAAAATGTGAGTATTTAAACAAACAAAGATACTTACTCCTCACTGTTTTGCAGCACCAGGAATCATGAACGCCGTCAAACAGCGGGACACCCAAACATCCAGTGGATGGTATGTTTCTACTGTTAACAGTTTGGGATGCTAGTTCCCATTTATAGATTCAATTAATAAGCTATCATCAGTAGCCAGTAATGTATTCTGTATCATTCTACACAGACTATGCTAATGTTAGCTAACATCCTGTGTTTACCTTCTAAGCATAGTCTTTTAAGTTGGTATTACTTTATTGATTAACTTATAGCCTGTCCTCCTTACATAATCCCAGCTGAGGTTGCAAGACTGTTTGGTCTATATGCACATGGAGGGAGAAGAGTGACAAGGTCAAAGGTCAAAGTGTTTATTTGTCACATGCACAGTTAGGAAACGTGTTTCCCAGTACAATTAAATTCTTACTTTGCTGTCCACATGAATGCCACAAAATACAAATGAAAAATAAAGTCAATAAATACGTAACACAAAATCTAAGGCACTTTAAGCAGCAAATGCAGCAGTATAATAAAAATATATAAGAATATAACAGAGAATGTATGCTGCATGGGAGCAGCATGTGCAGCAGTCAACAGTCAATGCGCAATTATGCATGTGCAAACTGAGAATGTAAACAGTATAGGTCGACAGTACATGATGTATTTCCTGGTAATAAACTCCTCAGCTGTTTAGGAGTCTGATGGCAGAGGGAAAGAAAGAGTTTTTCAGTCTAGTGGTCCTGCATTTCACACTTCTGAACCTAGGGCAGTGGAGTCCTGGTGATCTTCTCCGCAGTCTTTACCACTCTCTGCAGGCGCTTGCGGTCCATAGCCGT